TCTAACAGTAACTGGCATGCTCTCTTTACCGGAGAAAAGCTCGGTAAGATGACATGTAAACTGATCAATTTTTTGGGGCTACGGAACACTTAGTTTGGGGGCTACTGAACACTTATTTTGGAGGCTACTGAACACTTATTTTGGAGCTACTGACCACTTTTTCGGGGGGCTACTGAACACCTATTTCGGGGCTACTGAACACTTATTTCGGGGGCTACTGAACACTTGTATTGGGGCTACTGAATTTATTTTGAGCCAACTGAACACTTATTTTGGGGGCCGATAAGTGTTCAGTCGGGGACCAGATTGGGGGGGACCATATTGGGGCCGACTGTACATTTATTTTGCTGCCGATAAGTGTTGAGTTGGGGACCAGATTGGGGCTTACTGAACCGATAAGTGTTCAGTCGGGGACGAGGTTGGGGCCAACTGAACATTTATTTTGGGGCCGATAAGTGCTGAGTTGGGGACCATGTTGGGGCCGAATGAACACTAATTTTTGGGCCGATAAGTGTTCAGTTGCGGACCAGATTGGGGCCGACTGAACACGTATTTTGGCGCCGATAAGTGTTCAGTTGGGACCAGATTGGCCGACTGAACCCTTTTTGGGGGGCCGATATGTGTTCAGTTGGGGACCAGATTGGGGCCGACTGAACACTTTTTTGGGGGCCGATAAGTGTTCAGCTGGGGACCATAATGGGGCCGACTATTTTGGGTTTCATTGCGGGGGCTACAGGGAGCCAGAGAAGCTCACGAAATCGATTCCGAGAGGGTCTGTATTGGTAGATAGCAGATCCTAACATCCGAAACGAAACAGGTAGAAAAGAGCATCAGGCGATTGAAGCCTCCTACCAGACCCCAGCATCCCTCAAACTAGATATTCTTGATTATGATATATTCTCAGAAGGAATTGCCCCGAAGTAGCGAATTCCCTGCTTCAAAATATCTCGCCAAGGCCCTAGACCCTAAACCCTAAACCAACTCCCTACATCCTAAATCCAAGGTGGAGTCAAGTCGCTCCGGTGCCAAGTTGGTGCAGGCAAGGGACCCCGAAGCGAGTCCTGCAACGGGGTTTATCGGTTTCAGGATTTTGCCATTACTTGTAGCGTTCAGAGTTTAGGGCTCTGGGTTAAGGGTGGAGGGCTTTGAGCTTCCGGGTTATCGGCCCCACAAACTTAAAACAGGACTGTACGACAGCCTGTCGAAAGCATTATGCAACCATATGAAGACCTGAAACAAGGCAGGGGTGACTCGCCGGTCTGAACAACTGCAATTATTTTCCCGCTTACAGTCCCGATAGGTATGCGTGTGTTAGCATATATCTAGTCAGTAAGGCCCTTATGCTGGAGCCTATAAATCCTGGTGCGAACCCTAACAAACTCATACTTCCTTCGAGACATTCCGGCCCTAAGCCCTAACTACCCAGAAAACAACGCGTGTACAGTTCCAACTCTAGTACCGTTCTCCTTGAAGCATCCCCCCTTTACGCACATTAAAAACCCTAAACCCTTAAGGATGTTTGAAAGCCTAAACCCAAGGATACTATGAGCCCTAGAACTCGCCAAAGCTTCTAGACCTGGGGTCTGCGGTCCCCCCATCCTCAACGCGTCCCTCATGCTTTTCTTGACCTGTTCGTGATCAGACATAACAGACAATGTCTAATACAACATGCGTATGTCTACATATTGTATGTGTATATATATATATATATATATAACCTGCTTGTTTTGTGGTTTGTCTATGTAGTCATACCTACATAGAAAAAGAGAGAGAGAGAGAGGGAGGGAGAGAGAGAGAGAGGGAGAGAGAGAGAGAGAGAGAGACCAAGGGAGCGAGCGAGCGAGCGAGCGAGGGAGGGAGGGTGCAAAATTCAAGTGTACAATCTAGACAGTGGGAGCAATCTA